TATATATATAAATGCACCATGCCTAAAACAGTAGCCTACATTACCGACTTTCCTGTGTCTCATCCGTTCTTTTTCAGTCACTCCTGAAACTTTGCTGCATGTGCAAACCGAAACCTTCTTAAAATGCTTGTCTATATTGTGTATTATCATCAGTCATTTTTACATAGAAAAGTATTACTCGCTGCATTTAAGTGCATGAGAATAAGTCGTTCACTTAGAAGATTCGTTCAAAAACCCGGCACTACTTTTGCTTATTAGGCGGCTTCAGTTTTGCTAAAACTGTACAAACTGATGGATTACTTAGACCAATTGTGGGAAAGTGCTGGGGGGACCCACATAATTATTAAATATTAATTAATAGATAGGCTATGCATGTTTCCCAGTATTAGTTCTGTGGGCTAGAAATTAGCTCTTTCTTATTTCTTATTTAATGATTTGTAAAAAAAATAGCTGGAAGCAGATGACACCAGAAGCCGGGAAAAATGGTGGATACAAAATAAAATTGAAGCAAACACTGAACCATCTTGTGCGGTTAACACCACTTGACCTATCAAATTCTTTCCAATTGTATGCTTTTCTTGTTAAATGATGATATATAAATAAGATTTAGATACAAATAAAAAGTTTAAGATTCATTAACATTTTTTTCCCACAAGGCTTTTTAGCAAATTTGCATTTCTTATTGATGTACAATTAAATAATCTAGCTAGAAATAAAGCAAATGGCACCCCCTACTGTGTACAAATCCAAATAGAAGGTACCACACACACATAACAGATATTACAGTCATTTAATATGATTGCCAAAATGCAGTCACATTTGCTACCAGAATTTTTCTGTTTTAACATTAAAAGGCTCTTAAGTATTTCTCTTCTTGGGTACAAACGATTCAAACTCAAACTACACCAACACAATATAGAACGCATCATTTTTCCTTCATGCATCAGATCTTCCAGTTTCAATAGGTAAGGGTCGTTTATGTCTCATGGCAATAAATTAGCTAGTTAAAAAATAGTACAGCCTAGCAGTTCAAAGCTTTGTTACTTGTTAATTACTCACTTTTATTTTTGCATTGCACTCTTTTTCTCATCATGCTGACAGCTTCACCCTCCCTGGTCTCTCTCACACACACACACACACACATACACACTCAGTTCCTGCGGTTTCCCTATTTAGACGCAGATGTACATTGAAATGCAAAACACACCATAAAATCACACATAATTACCCATGTCTTTGCTATTATATTCATAAGAGAAGTGCCTGTCTGTGTCCTTTGAGATGTGTGAAGCGGATAGTGATTTTTCGGTTTCACAGTGCCACTATAGATTGCTATTATCATCAACCCTAAATGTGCTCTTACGGTCTTAACTTGGCCAGTTAGTCTCATTTTATCTGCATTCATCAGACAACAACCACACATTTATACCTTTTCACTCCCTCTCTTTGATTTGATTGTGTACCTAAAGAAATTATAGCTTATGTTGAACTACTATGGATTTATAATACATAATAAAAAACTAATTTGATTTGGCTTGCAAACATTTTTATTTTCTAGAACAAAACCACAAATCAGTGGCAAACATTTCAAATATTTTTGTTCTTTCCCTTTTACTTTAAATCCCTTTTTTGTTACATTCAGAGAGGAATACTCTGGCAACACTCAAAATCACAGGCAGCAAATGGCTTCTGTCCATTTTAAGAGACACTGATTTGGATTTACAGAACATTCTTACAAGACAAAAACATGAACATTGTTCCCTTTGTCAAAGATTTAAATGTGATACAAATGCCAGTGTCACATCCAAAACAAAAACAGTTCTCCCATAATGCTCCACTCCAGGAGGAAGCACAATTAGAATGGCCGAACAACACAGTTGTTCCCTCAGAAAAGACAAAAAAAAAAAAATGAATGACACTCTTCAAACAGTGAAGTTATTTCAGGTGAAGAGAGGAAATAAGTGAATGAACACACATGATTTGACAGATGCAAAGAAAACAATATGAATCTTGATCACAAACACAGCTCAGTAACCATATACACTGGTTCCACAGCTATGAGGAATTTTATCTCCATACTATGCATCTCTGAAAAGTCCATATTTTGCACGTGAATCTTATGAGATTTTCACTTTGGACCTACAATCACGCAATTAATAATATCACTGAGCAATAATACAAGAGTACCACAAGCATTCTGTGCAATATTTCAGAAACTGTCATTATTTTCCTTCCCTTAAAAAAAAAACTAACAAACAAAAAAGGAGATTAGCATGGTTTCTTATGTATTTACCAATAGATGGTTTCAAAAAGCTCTTTCAATGCATTATACATTCTTCTTAGTATAGGCTGTACCGTGAATATACTACAAATCGAACATAAATGTAAACAAATTAAAGACCAGGTAACACTGATTTACTGTGAATGCTTCTATTGATATACACGGTCAGGTTGAAAAAGAAGAACAACAAATAAAACTTTACAGAATGATTAAAAAAAGTAATTGCTGGTCAAAAACAAGTATTTGAAAAATCAGAAATTTATCAACAGTAGCCCTTGAGTTTAATTTATGGCTGAGCTATGAGAAAAGGATAAGTACAAACATACATACTTATGCACACAAACCTGAAAAACACCTGCCAGATACATAACGTTTGCACGTACGAAGGAAACATATCCCATTATACTGTAAATGCCAACATCAAACTTTCAACAAACACTCCACTTAGACTAGAAAAGTACCTAATGCATCTTAAATCTGATGTCTGTGCTACACGTAAAATGTAAATACTGATTAAACAGATTTTGCTAAACAAATCAGTGGAATTTTATGGATATTTCCAACCCTATTCCTTCAGAAAAGACTTCATTTACACCAAAAATGACTGACATCTGTTTGAGATGACTATTACACGTTCTGACAAATCAGACCACAGATTAAACAATAAAAACAAAAAAGAACCAAAACAATAAAAAAGTAAACTGATAATGCCTTTTAAAAGATTAACATAAAATATGAGAACATAATGAAACTATAAAATAAAATAGATTTAAAATACGACAATACCACAATGACCAATGAGTAATTAAACTGAACATGAGCATCAGCTTGTTGTGATTACCAAGCAGATGACCTTTGTGTGTGATCTGGAAATACCTGCTAAATAAGTGCACGTGTTTGGCTCTGACACTGGACAGTCCGATGTTACAAAAGACAGACACTGCATACAACCTACCGGCAAAAACAGCAGAGTTTACAGATTAAAGTGCTAGACACCAATACTGAAGCGCTCTTGCTAACAGTACGGTTAGTTTTTAACTCTGTGCTTTGCCTGTTCACCCAGAGTAAATGCAAGACAACATTAATGGCACATTCGCTTAACAATAATGAATAAATTCCCTTCCATATATTTTAGGCACAAAAAGCAAACTTAATAACATCTCCCCACATTTTTTTTTAGATGTGAGAGAATCTGCATCACTTTATGCCTTTCTGTATCAATCAGTCCAGTCCAGTATGAAGTGGTTTGTGGTCCACATTCCCACAGGTAAGAGATCACCAGCGACCACTGATGCTCGCCATGTCCGAGTGGAACTGGCGCGACAGACGACCGCTGGCCCCGCCTTCTAGGAAGGAGGAGCAAATGTTGGGCGTCTCAAAGAGCTTCCTCCTGCTCTTATTCAGCTCTGAGGAGACATTCAAATATCATCAGTAATCCGTTAAGTAAACACATGAGCTTTGTTCCTAAACCTAATGAGCTGCAGCTCTCCCTACATATAGGCAGCTGTATTCTAAGGCAGCATCCTAACTAAAGTGGAAATTTATAAGTTACTTATTTGAAACACTCTACATAGGTAGATACTCTTTTAACAGTCACCAACACACATCACACACAAGTAAATGATGACAGCATTTTTAAGCGATGTCTAGGTAGGCTGCTCACTATGTTCGGAGTAAAGATACTATATAGTATTCCAATTTTATATAGACTGCGAATCTATGAAAGGTCATCTTGGAAGAAATTGCTTACTTTACAAAGCAGTGACATCCCATCCTATTCTTTCCACATCCTTTATTTTGGTTTATCTTTTTTTTCCTGTTGATCTGTAGCTTAGATATAAACACAAAGCTTACTGACCTGAGATGGCCAGTAACATTTTCCGGCGAGCACCAAATGTTGTGATTCCCAGTTCCCTTA